CCCCCTGGACCACCAGCCCCAGCAACAGCACTAGAGGAAGAGAGGCCCTCAGCTGCTGGGGAGTCTTTGCCCCTATTCAATCCCCCAACACACTGAGAATATTCCATCCAGACCCCCTGAAGGGAGGGGAGGGGCTTAGAGAGCCCGACCTTGGCATGCACCATCAATAAAGTACACTGTACCCAGAAAAAACAAAACAAAAACAAATGAGCACTTTTTCCAAATTTTTTTTTGGGGGGCAGGGGTAACCTCGTATGTGGGCAGTATATAAAGTAGATACCCAGAATGTGGAGGATAAAGGTATGACGTGGCTAGTTTACAACTTTCTTAGGTAGGGAATATGTTCATAGGATTATGGTGTAGGTGTTCACTTAACTGCAAGTGTTAGGCATAAAGTTTTTTTTTTGTTCCCTTGCAGATTATATTTAAATAAGGCGGGCACATTTTGAATTGTATGCATTTAAAAAGTTTTATCCTACTAGGTACAGGTATGGTTTTCTTACTTTTCTGTTTTAAAATGATCAATGAGGTCACAGTCTGATGATGCCTCCTTGTGGGTGTGGCCTAATCGTGAGGATTCTGGGAACTTTTTTTCCCCTGGAGGTAGGCCACACTTTCTCTGCTTCAACTTCCTGTTGAGGAGACACACTCAGGAGCTGGAGGAGCCACATGGAGACGCTTCCACAAGACTGTTCAGCCACTGGCCTGTGATCTTCCAGCATTCAGCATCATTGTGAGTGGTGGTTACACGAGTCTGAAGAGGAATTTATGGACTAGTATCAGACCTATGGGCTTAAGATCAGAGCTATGGACTTGATCTGGATTGAGCTAAGACGTTTTCTTAATATACAAAGCTCTCTGCACACACGAGTGTCCCTGAATTTGTTTCTCTAGTCAACCTGGACTAACACAGAGTATCTCTCCAACCTCCTGGATTAGCCTACTGACAGAAGTGTCACTTAACTATTTTTTTTAAACAAGAACATGTATTAGATGATCTACTACTCCTTAGAGGGTTAGATGTGATGAGTTTTAAATCGAGGGAGCAAGCCCTGATGACACTTTTTTATTTTTAATAATTTTATTGGGAGTTCTTACAGATATCATAACAATCTACAGTTAAAACACATCAAGCAGTACTGTACACTTGCTACCACAACCAGTTTCAATATTTTTCTTCAACTCCTTGCTGTATCAGCTCCCATGTATTCTTAACCTCCCATAATCACCAGCACCCCCATGAGACTACCTTTTGAAGGTTTATATAAGGTCTAAGAATAGTATACATTTAAGTATCCATGTATGTGGCAGTTCTATAGGCCACATAGTAATCTGTATCAAACAGAATCTACGCCTACAATTCAATCACCTCACATCCAAAATAAAATGGGCTATCTTAACTATCAAAGCAGACAGAATTTGAGACAATTAAGACTAGAGGACTTGTTTCAAAGGAAGAATTCACTCTTACCTATATCTTTTTTTTTTTACAAGGGGGTGAGGGGCGGGGCTGGCGAGGGGGACGTCTTACCTATATCTTACAATTCAGTTTTGTAAACTCATTTTGTAGCTTAAGGCCCGATATTCAGTAAATATATAGTAGATAGCCATAATATTGAAGTCCTTTTTTGTTACCATTTATGGGAATAAAATTTACTTTAAAAAAATGACCAGACACCCTTATGTACTAAAATTACTTTATTACAGTTGATTTTTTTAAACATTTCCTTTGTTATGATACAAAGGATACTTACAAACAAAATATTACATATGACCATGTTTTCTCTCTTTTATGTTTTGACAACTTGATAACAGCTTTAAATGCACAATCTATACAATTAATACAGGTTATATATGAACTATAAGGTATGGTGAACCAGGAGAATACTGACAATGTACTGTACAATAAGCCTTACCAGTTAGTGCGGTGGACCATTTCTACCAAAGAGAAAATGCACACCTGTACAGTCACCTTTCTCAGTTGGTGTTGACCACCAGAGAGGGGCTTCTTCCCAATTGCGACCCTGAATATGCCTCCACTGTGGGCGGTTGTTTGGTCTAAAAACTGAGAGGACTATGTATTTAAAAACAGTCATCAGGCGGCAGAGCTTCATACTGTTCACACAATTCTCTCTCACCAAAAAGTCAGTCCTCATTTTAAAAGACCCCAAGTCCTCTGTCCACTATAAAAACTATACAGGCTCAAGGGCTCTGGGAGATGAGAAGATGAAGGCTGCCAAAAAAGAGGAGATAAAGTCAAGCCCAAATATAGGTCTTGTCAAACCACTGCTTTTCCCTTCACCAAAGGGAAGAACTAGAAATGTACAAATTCATTGATGAACCTCAATGATAGCATCCATTCGCTGATAACTCTCATTTTATCTGGAACTCTTAACTTGGGGGAATAAGTAAAATAGATTGTGGGTAATATGTACCACCTTTAAAAAGAAAACTCTTGATTCCCTTTATCCACCAAAGCTGGTCTAAGGCTATTACAGGTGTGCATTCATCTCTCAATGGTCTAATCAGATATGATAGGTTACAGCATTTTTAATCTTTTTTTTTTAATTAAAAAAAAACAATTGACTGAGCACTTTTTTTAAGGTAAATAGCAAAAATAAAAATAAAAACCAACCCTAACATTTGCATAAAGAATGCAAATGGAGTGATATGGCCTTTAAGGTAGAGGGTTAGTAAAGAAAAAAGTGACAAAAATCCAGAGAAAATGAAAGATTTTTTTCTCTCTTGAAAATCCACAATACATGTGCAAAAAAAATCATGCTGTCTGAGGAAAACAAAGGAAAATGAGTACATAAAAATAAAAACATAAATAATGTGTTTGGATGACTGGTAAAAGTAGAAACAACCTGGGTTACATAAAGGAGTATACATTCAAGATGCTCTTAAACCCAGTGGGATAACTTATGTTAAAAATGTGTTAATAGTTACATTAAAAATCTCAAGTTTGTTTTAAACCTTCACAATACAAGCAAAGCTGTTTTAAAATATACACTATACATATTTCTCATAGTCTTTCCAACCTCATTACTGCACGTTAGGCTGTCTTTTTTTAATATACTAAAACAAGGAGGTTCTGAAAGCAAAATTGCTCAGAATAACCCATACATTATTTAAATGTTTGCCTCAAGTTTAAAACGGGTTAACATTTTTAGCAGACTTACATAAATAGGATTTAGCAACATAAGTGTTAATTTAAAAAACTTTGAGCCCCTAATAAAATGATTTAAAAAAAAACCTCTTAAAAGCATTTACAAATTATCTGACTGGAAGAGTCTGGGGGAAGTTATGTGAACTATACTTAAAATGTTACTTACATCAGACCACTGCTTTTGTAAAAATGTTTCTGAAAAAACCAAAGCAAAACAAATTTAGAAAATCAATCGGTCTAACCTAGCAGATAAGGGTCATTATAAAAGGAAAAATGAGAACACAATTCTCTCCTTTCCCCCCAGCCCCCCTCTACAGGTCCCTCTCTACCTGGGTTTTACTCTAGGAAACCACTTGCAACTCCTAATTGGCTCATACATCAAGTGTCCAGATCCTGTGGTGAGTAAAATACCTTGTCAGACAAGTTACTGGCCCCAACTGCTCTTTTCTTGGAAATGCCTTCCCACTTGGTGTCTCTGGCTTGGAATATTTTAGGGTACATGTAATTACTGGAGGAGTACTCTGCATAGGCACAATTCCCACTTAATATGGAATAAAAGGTTCAACACATAAAATGCCATTGAGAAGGGGTGGTGGTTTCTTGGATGTTATGAAATGCAAGGACGGACAGCAGCAAATGGGCACCCAAACAGAACCGTCCAGCATTGCACTACAGGCAGCCAACATCGTCATGAACAAACTAAGACAAAAAAGGGGAAGAAGGATCCAGTACCCTGTAGGTTTGTGTGGTATGTGCCAATTAGTCACATGGACCAGACAGAATCTGCAAATGTCAGGCAGTTAGATCCTTTTACTCCATGACCATGTGCAACTTAGAGTTTTAACAGTAATGTCCATGCCTGGACAGTGCATTTGAGGGCTCAGGAAAAGCAAAACGTGCCACCGAGAGAAACTTGTTCCCATATAAACTGGTCTTTTCTTTCAAGTGGCCCTAATACACCTTGATACTATGCCAAGCCATGCAAAAGCAAAGAGTACACGTTTTTCATTAAAATTGGTAGCTCATTTCTAAACTTCAATGACTTCAGAGTTGCCATAAAAACATTTAACACGAGCACTGAAAACATAAATATGAGGGTTCCTTGATTTAAAAAAAAAAAAAAGCATTCCCTCATCTATGTTCACCAATCTATAATACCTTAGGCTACCAGGCCTATCAGAAAAAAGGGAAATTAAGTGGGAGTAATGACAGAGGAACATATTATGTATTTCTGGAAATAGACAAAAAATTCACAGAAATGGGATCAGTGTGCCAACAATAAGCATAATTCATTTGAAAATTCAGCTAAAGAGCCCAATAAACAGTTCCAGACCATAATGTTATCACCTGTATAATTTACATTAACATTAAAACACTTGCACTTTTACAGACAAAACACACTTCTGTAAACATGGCCACTGGGGAAGGGAAGGCTCCCTACCTCATTCATGATCAAGGACATGTAATCATTTTATTAAATAAAATTACTTAGCTTCAAAAGATTTCAAACCTGATCAAAGGCTAAGCTTCATTTCCCCCTGTTTAACAACATTTAAGCTTTAATTCTAAAGTTGTCACCAGGGATGGTTTCAGGACACAACTGGCAATGACAGGACTCCTCTCTGGCTGGCACAGACTTAGAGACTTTAGTACAAAAACGAAAATGACAGAAACTAGGTCAATTTGTTAGCTACATATTTACAGATAATTACATCATTTTCACTCATAATTACAAAAAACTACGAGAGAAAAGGAAACTGTGCAGGTTGAAGTACCCGTACTTTGGGGGGAATCTTGGGCATTAACATACCCTTTCTCATTCATTCAGAGGTCTCATCTTCTCTCCACTGTTTTATGCCCAACTACCTACAGATGTTCAAATCAGTATGTCCAGTGGGCATCATGCTGTTCTCAAAGGAAGATCACAGTGGATTAACCTTTTTTCTCTAAAGATCACTTGTCTATTAAAAACAAAAAGACAATGCAACAACACAATAGACGCTTGTGTGCGTGTACACACATACACACACACACACACATACACACTCTCTCTCTCTCTCTCTCTCTCGCTGAAACTTCAAAGAGTTTGGGTTGCTGAGAAATATTCAGCAGTGATGTTAACATAGTAAATGACTCCCCAGTTTTAATTCTCTGCCTTTATTTTCTTTAAAGAATATCTTTGGGTGGGTGGGAAGTGCAAGTTTAAGAGATCCACAACAGGCAGATAAGGTGCATTAAAATTTACAGATTTCTTATAATCTTCAGATTACCATGAAGCCAAATGGGTTCTCTCCAATTTTTGAAATATGTATGTAAACAAAGAAAAAAAAATTAGTCAACAGGACTTTAAAGGGGGTTATCAGAATTCAGTAGAAAGCATAAATGCAAAATAAGAGTTCTCAGCTTCACTTATTTCCCCTACACAGTGTGTAATACAACTTACTTCTTTACAAATTAAGTCACTGCCAATGCAGACCTACTGTAGTGATTTCATAAAAGTGCAGACAATATAACCAGACACACAGCAAAACAGACTTCAATCAGTAGTCCTTGCATACAAGAGGCGAATCTGCTAGGTGTACAACACATTCTTTATCTTTTTAGGAACTTAAGAGTGGGGAATTTCCAGTTCTTAATAACTAAGGGAAAGTGAGTGCATTTTCAAAGGCAATGCTACAACCTGACCAGGGCTGCTATTGTCATTGATGGAGGAAAAGGAAATAGGAGAATGTGCCTCTCTTCAGTAATGATCTGTATTTTGGCAAGCAGCTCAGAGATGACAGCCCAAGTTTTGGCTCTGCTCCTTAGAAAAGGCTCTTTTATTTCCTAAATGAGAACCTCTGTCTCCATCATTACAAGAGATTCACACTTTGATATCATAAATATATTATTTTCTAGCTTGAATATATATCTGACACTTCACATTGTGAGCATGGGACAAAACACAGGACCCTAATGAATTTCCTAGAAAGGGGTGCTGTTTGGACCTAACCCTCTGCTTGAATAGTAGTGGCTCAGAAGGAGTGGAAGGTGCACACAGGTCTTAATTACTATTATCAAGCAAGAAGATGGAGAAAGTCCCACACATCAGTACTATTCCTTTCTCTTCCACTGACAGTTTCTTATTGATTTTACATTTAGGAGAGCGACAGATGCTTCAACTTTAATTCCTATCTTGAATGTTTTGGTCCTTAGTGCAATATATATATATATAGGGATTAATGAAAGAACAAAGGGAAAAAGGATCAATGTCATCACTGATACAGAAAGTTAATAAAGGCGGTGTGATTTATTGGTTATTTTTATCATTTTGCAGAGGAATCACCACAAGTCCATTACATTTCTGTGGTTCATTTCTCTCTGCATCATTCATCTTTCTTATGTCACAACAGACTCAAAGAAACATTAACCGGCTTCTTCCCCAGCACAATTTTACTACATTGCGACATATGGTTCCACATTTTACTTAACTTTCTATTCACTCACACAGTGCTCAGAGAGCATTACAGAGGGAAAAGAATACATCTAATGACCACCTTCTCATAAATCCAGAGTACTCATTCTTAAGAAAAACAAGCCCTAGCTGAGGTCTGAATTAAAAAATACATATATATAATAAAACAAAAAGAACAGAACCTTAAGTGCCCTGATGGAAATGTACAGTGTGAGTTCCATCCACCCATTTATCTATACAAACAGACACTCATATGTATATACACTATATACATACAAATGAGAACAGCTATACGCAAAATGTGCATGTTTAACAGTTTTTTTAAAAACCCAGTAGATCATGGTATAATACAATTTATTTCCACTAGTGAATGGCACAACTGGAGAAACGCAAAGGAGGTGTTTCAAGTACAATAAAGTCATTTTCACAGGTGAAAACAAAGAGTATTATTCCAGTGTCCAACATCATGGATTCTGTAAAGATTCTTACTGCTAGACAGTTAGCACTTACAGAAGTAAAAAGTTACTAAAATCTACCTTACGGTCTTAAAAAGATACTCATAGAGTTTTCAATTTTTGAAACGGGGCGAGGAAAAATAGGTTTAAGGGAGTCTCAAGGGCAATTTCTTTAGTGTAGTGAATTGTGTTTGACATCTAGGAAGCCGAAAACCATGACTACTCTAGAGAGTTTAACTTCTCAAAAAATTTTTGCAATATGCTTATTACACTTGTGATTATGGCTTCATATGCAGCATTCGTCTCTAGGCACAAAAATAAGAAAAAAAGAGTGAGAATATAAACACATTTTCAGTTATTGTATATATAGTGAAAATATTTTGAGATACTACATATGGGGAAAGTCGGCCAATCAGGAATCCTGTATTTCAAGATATGAGGTTTTGCCTTTTTATAATGCTACTCCAAAAAAGGTGAGACCATGGTACAGGAAACTTTCTAATGCAAAGTTCTGTAAATCAGATGCATTATTGACCATTTCCTGATATTCCGAACATATTTCTCATACATTTATTTCCTTAAATATATATATATATAATGAGTGGACACCAGCAATGGGAAGGAGGTAGTGTTAACCCAATTAAATGTTGACATTTCCACATTAAGAAAGTGCTTGCCTTTTTCTTAAGACCTCGCAAAACCTTTCAAACATTTATAAATTTTACTCTCCAACGATTCCTCAGAAGTTAGAGCTTACTCATGCAACACACACACACACACACACACACACACACACACACACACACACCAATGAATTTGAATCATTTTTGCAAACTGTAAGTATTTTAATTAAGATGAACTTAATGGTATAATCCAGGCATAGTTTTGACCTACATGAAAAACTCGATGCCAAACAAATCAGATACAAAGTCTTACTGGAAAGACATTGGGGTAACCAATCACATTTTTACAAGTAAACTCAGTAACTCAATTTGATTTAATTTAAGTCTCTGACTAATTTGAAGTCTACAATTAGACGTCCAAATGTAGAATTGAGGATTTTTGGTAGAATTTGGAATTTTAAAGAGTTTTATATGCAAAACATTTGCTATTCCATCCCTTCATCATTAGAGGGGCCAGACTGAATATAAAAAGGTATACGATTTCATATTTTTGATTATTTTATTATATTCTAAAGTTCACTCATCATTAGCCTCCAAATATGATCTCTCTGTTTTTCTGAAGCATTATATTTGAATGCAATAAAGATACCAAGAAAACTAAAGCCCTTATTAGATATGACAAGGACATGCCATATTTACTTAAGAACTGGTGATCTGGAGAATGGCTAAAGGACAATACAGCACAGTGCTACTTGAAGCACTGCCAAAAAATGTGTGAGTTCTGTGATCTTGATTTTCAAACTATTTATATTAAATACTAATTATTTCTTCATTTACCTTTAAATGAATGCCAGGAATTCCTAAAGGTGAGTTCCTGGAGGCTGGACTGACATACCTGGTAAAGACTTTAATTTAGTTGAGGAAATCAAGATTTTCACAGTAACACATTACTGTTTGGGCTGCGAGTTAAGGGGAGCAGTGTTACTGAGAGGAATGAAGAGAATCCTACTTCGAAGCCTTCTGACTACATGAGGAGGACCACCCAGGGTCAGCAGCACAGGCTCCTCAAGACAACTGGGGACAGGCAGTAATAAGTAAGGTACTCTGATCCACCACTGGAAAGGGCATTTCCCCCTCTTCAAGTTATATTCATAGCTCTCCACCCACTTCCAACTAAGTTTCCACACTGGCAATGGAACACCAAGAAACATGACTTTCAGCACTATATCGATCCTTCATTGTAAAACAAAATAAAATATGCACCTTCCCTTTTTCTTTTTTTAAGGGGGGAGGGTAGTTAGCTTTTGTCGAGATTCCCTGACCATTATTACTTTTTAAAAAAATTTGACAAACTTACTAGTTCTTTTTCAGTAGTATTTTAGCATGAAGGCAAGAGACTTCCGGAAGTGGTGTTTCCTATTGTGTGATGTTAACATGATGCCAAGTGGCTGTGAAGTCTCGATGAACTAGAGGTTTGTAAAGTATTGCAGCAACAAACACAAAACAAAACAAAACAAGCCAAAAGAGGACCTGCACATGCAGCAAAATCGACAGTGGTGATAAGGGTTAGTCAGCAGCTGGCAGTCATCGGCTCAGTGACTCCTTGTTCACTATGGCAACTAAACAGTTAAATAATTGGCTATTCTACTTATAAACAGGAAATCCCGTAAGCCAAAAGGGGGTAATCAAATTATGTCTTATGTAGTGTGATAAGAACTCCAATACATGGCAGTTTACAAATATGGCATTATTCAAATACTGTATATACTCATGTACAAGCCAAGTTTTTCAGTACATTTTTAATGCAGTTTTTGGGCTAAAATTAGGTGGGCTGATATTCAGGTCAGCTTATACTCGAGTATGTATGGTACCTCTGGCATTTGATTTGTTTTGGCTATACATCATTGTTTTATACCAAGTAAAAGTATGTGTTGGGTCTTGGGAGTTTGGTGCTTAGGTAGGATGAGATATCACAGTATAAGCAAAAGACCGCAGAATATATGGGCTCCATTTCCTCACTCTGCTGATAAATATACCTAGTATATGAGCTTTAAGAGGCCTTTTCACTCTTTTGGTACCCTGCTTAAAATCTCACAGGCTTTTAATGCAACTTCCACACAACTTGTGATCTCCTTAAACACCCTCACCTCTTCATGCTACAAAGAAGGCACAAACAAATGGAAAAAATTCACAGACAAACCTATGTTGTATTCAGAAAAAGGACTAAGTTGATTTGTACCCTCTAAAAAAGTCAATGCAACCCTTTAGTGCTCGTGGATTTGCTTTCCCTTTCCTTTTTCTCCAAATGAGGCTGAGAAGTCAGACCAACTTAATAAAGAAACTACATTGGTGAGGGAATGCAAGTATATCATAATAACTGGTTTCAGCATATGCTGCCTGCTGTGAGTGGCTCATAAAAATTTGATATAGGGTGGAAGGTTTTAGATAATTCCATAAGCTTCTTAGGATACAGACACCCAAGAATGATGACTTAAGCACTTTGCTGCATTTTATTTTTGCAGTGTTCAGAATATACCCCCTTATTTAGCCAATTTATTTTTACTCATGCATCACACGCACACACGCGCGCGCACACACACGTATGTATATAGTATCAACTCCCCTTTTCAAAAATTCCCCAAAAGTTAAAAAACAAAACAAAAACAAACCGGCAGCCAAATACTATGACATCTCAATTAGTAAACACAAAACAAGAACGCTTTACAAAAATGAATAAAATATTCCATATGCACTCAGCTTCCACACTCTAGTTACCCAAGTGAGGAGGCTCTGTGACGATGTCTGTAGGCAGTTTCTTTTGGCAGACAGCTCCAGCGGAATTGCCACTCTCAACTAGTAAGTTATGTATAAGACATGTGTGACCCATTGGATATTTGTGAAGTGACACTCGTGCTTCTGCTCATGCCCTGCTCCGTCCGTCCTCCAGAAGCTGTCCGCCTTAGAGCTTGGGGACTATTGCGGACTCCCATACTGCTACCTCGAGGTACCCCTTGCATTGGCCCTGAGGGGTGACCCCATGGCTGGGGTCCACCTTGCATTGGATGCCCCCAAGCTTGTGGCGGGCCACCCATGGGATGATGACCCCAGTGAGATCCTGGACCCCCAGTAGGATTGTGAGACCAACTAGACGCTCCTGGGTAGCTGTGGCTGAAGGCCTCAGGGGAGAGATTAGAAAGGACCATGTTACTAAAACCTAATCTCATGCTTTCAGAGTCAAAAGCTTCAATTTCTCTGGCTTGCCGTTCCAGCAGGCTTCGTATTCGTTCGGTGCGTTCATTCTGCAGGGCCAACATCTCTTCTTCAATCTGGAGAGGGAAGCCAAAAGGAAGATGATTTATATTTTAAAATCTATAAACTAAAGAAACGATAATTAGCTTTGAATCATTAAAAAAAAGGTCTACTTTACAAATGTGTATTTAAAAAATAAAAAGGATGTACTATAGGAACCACATATACTTTATTTCTGAAGCGTATAAAATCAGGTTTTTAAAAGCAAGGCAATGATTATCAAGGGCCACTAATTCCATAAGGTAAAAAGTTGAGAGAGAACTCTTTTATGGCTGATCAGATGGATAACCAATATCACTTACAATTGTGATTATACACTGTATATCTTTGGACATGATGCAAAAAAAGTACACAGTAAGTCCTATGAAATACTCTTGCAAAATTAAAATATTTTAAGATTTTGAACCTATATATAACCTTATCTAACTCCAGTTTATAAGAATGTGACAAGGAGGAAAGAGGAATATGCTGAATGACACCAGAGGAGGCACACAAGAATGTGCACAATTCTATAGGGCAAAGGATACAACTTCTTTCATAAAAAAACAAATGAAAGAAAGAAAACAGGTTTAAAGGACAACCAATGCAACATTTCAACCTTGTTTGGACTCCAATCCAAATAAATGAACTTTAAAGACATTGAGATAATAGGGGAAAAAAGGCATGGATTGAGTATTATAGCTTATTATTGTTAGATGTCATTGGGTCGATCTTGACTTGATTCATTGATAAGAGTAGAACTGCTCCACAGGGTTTTCCTGGATATAATCTTTATGGAAGCAGACCATCTTGGGCAGATTCAAACCACTAATCTTTTGTCTAACAGCTGAGTAGTTTACTATTGTGATACCAAAGGTGCCTCAAGTATTAATACTAGTAAATTAGGATAAATTTTGTCAAATATCAAAATTGTGGTTATGTTGAAGACAAAAAATAATTTTATGTTAAGAGTGAACTGATGCTACACTAGGATTTTTAAAGCTGTAATTGTTACAGAAGCAGACTGCCCTACCTTTCTTCCAAAGACTAGCTAGTGGGTTTGAACCATCAACCCTGGGGTTAGCCAGCCCAATGCTTAACTTGAGCCACCAGAGCTTTTGAATTTCATGCTAAATATAAAATAACCAATTCACAATGAAGGGGGAAGGGGAAGGAGGGAGCACTGGGACTGAGTGTGATTACATAACTCATTTTAAAGGTGATTTAACCATGGGGGGGGGGGTTGTGATTATGATTTTTCAATTCTTCTTGATGTGATTTATTGATTGGGTTATATGATACGTGGAATGTGTGCCAATAAAAATGTAAAAAAAAAAAAGGAGAATTGAACTATGAAATGGTATGATAAGAGCTGTAGGAGCTTTTAATAAGTTTTTGAAAATAACTAAATTTCTATACCTTTAAGATTTCAAATAACTTTAATTTTTGTCCTTTTAAATATTTAATTGTAAAAACTCAAACAATTCATTCAAGATTTATTTTAATCTGAGGGATCTACAATAATGATGGGGATGCTCTCAGCATATAATTAATCTGAATGCTCTGCATATTATTTAAGGGGAATACAAGCTAAAAAATTAACACAGCAATGCTTGCCAATATTTTATATAATAAGCACTGCTCCAATTCTGAATAATCCACTGTCAGAATCGAGTTGATTCTGACTCGTCATGACCCAGTATAGGGTTTTCAAGACTGTCAATTTTTACGGGAGTAGACAGCTTCATAAGGTATGACAATCTGCATTTCTTTAAATCATGGTATTAAAAAAATTATTAAACTTACTGGGGGGCTCTTACAAATCTTATAACAATCCATCATTCAATTGTATTAAGCACACTTGTACATATATTGCCATCAACATTTCCAAAACATTTTCTTTCTAGTTGAGCCCTTGGTATCAGCAACTCTTTTTCCCCTCCCTCCCATCCTCGTGAATCCTTTATCAAAGATATATTATTATTGTTATTTTGTATCTTACACTGCCCCTTGTCTCTCTTCATCCACATTTCAGTTATTCGTCTCCCTGTATGTGTGTGAAGGGCTATATATCCAACCTTGTGATGGGTTCCTCCTTTCTCCCCTTTCCCCCACCACTCCCTACCCTCATATCACGGGATTTATTACTACAAATTAGAAAGAATGATTTCACTGGATAAATGAGTTACCATAATGAAGACTTTTGAGAGATTCTTACAATGTGTATCTTTGAAACCAAATGTGATTTTATGTATGTGAATATTTTCAGCTATACAAGAAAAGGTCCTGTAAAATATGCTCGTGGGAGAAAGACAAGGCTTCCTACTCCCTTAAACAGTTACAGTTTCATCCCCCTGGGAGGGAGTTATATGTTGATCATTGTGATCGGTTTCCCTTTCTCCCCCACCTTGCCCTTCCCCCCCGGTATCGCTACTCTCCTGGATTCCCTGTTTCCAGCTCTAATCTGTACCTGTGTATATGCTCTGGTCAGTACCTGTGTATATGCTCTGGTCTAGCCAGGTTGTAAGGGGGAATTGGGGTCATGATAGTGAGGGGGCAGGGGAACCATTGAAGAACTAGAGGAAAACTGATATTAGGGGCTAGAGTGGGAGGCAAATGTTTTAAGAATGATGAAGGCAACAAATGTGTATATGTGCTCGACACAATGTATATATATATGGATTGTGATGAGAATTATACGAGCCCCCAATAAAATAATTAAAAAAAAAAAAAGAACTAGAGGAAAATTATGTTTCTTTGGTGCTATACTGCATCCTGATTGGTCTCTTCCTTGTGACCCTTCTGTAAGGGGATGCCTAGTTGTCTACAGATGGGCTTTAGGTCTCCACTCTGCCCTCTCTTCCCATTCACATCAATATAATTTTTTGTTCTGGGTCTTTGATGCCTGATACCTGATCCTACCGACACCTCATGATCACACAAGGCTGCTGTGCTTCTTCCATATGAGCTTTGTTGCTTCTCAGCTAAATGGCTGCTTGTTTATCTTTAAGCCTTTAGGACCAGACGCTGTATCTTTTGATAGCCGGGCACCATCAGCTTTCTTCACCACATTTGCTTATGCACCCATTTTGTCTTTAGTGATAGTGTCAGGAAGATGAGCATCACAGAATGCCGGGTTATTAGAACAAAGAGTCCTTGCATTGAGGGAGTACTGTCCTTGAGTACTGGCCCAATGTCCGTCTGCTACCTTAATACTTAACATATAAATATTGTACATAGATCTATGTCCCTAGTGTTATATACAAATATATTTACATATGTACACGCCTGTATTCAGACTTCAAAAAATGACCTTTGTTTCCTACTTCACTCCTCTATTTGAGGGAGAAAAATTTACGGCTTTATGGAAACCATATGGGGCAGTTTCATGCTGACCTATAGGGTTGGTATGATGTAGAGATGACTCAATAGTTGGTTTAATTTGCACAGTATAAGACGCTAATTAAAAAATAAGAGCAAAAAACATTGCTAGAGTCAATTCCAACTTACACTGACCCTAGAGGACAAAACTGAACTGTCTCACAGTTTCCAATGTTCCCATCTTTATTGAAGCAGATAAATCTACTTTTCTTCTATAAAGTGGCTGGTGGCTTTGAACCAAGTTTTAGTTAGTAAACAAGTACTTTAATCATTGCACAACCAGGGTCCCTACTATTATAGATACTAATCATTAATGTCTAAGATGCTAATTAGCACTGTTTAATTCCAAACCAGTAGGTGGGGCTAAACATACAAAAAGACTAATAGTATCAGTATTTCTTTCACTACCAAACCAACAACAACAACAAAAGAAAACTATTATTGACTCACAGCAACTATAAAGAACAGACTGGTACATCCTTGTTTCCAAGACTGTACTTTATTGAGCCAACTGCTACATTTTCTCTTAAATAGTCAGTTAGCAGCTGAGCACTAAAATACTGTCAGAAATATATTATAGGAGAGTTTTCTATTAAATCATAATCTAGAAAAAGAAGCTTAGGCTAGATTTTAAGTTGGGATCAGGAGGATCTATGAAATCTGTATATAGGGCAAACTAGATTTTTCAAAATTCATTTGTTTCTGTCACCCTACCTTGAATGAGTAATATAATGGAGGTAATTTTTAAGGACAAGTATCTCTCAAATAAGCTAGTGATAAAAATAGCAGTGCCAGAGAAACAGTAACATCTTATCTAGGTGTTTTTTTAAAAAGATATTTAACCTAATTGGGTATTCAATTTTTATCCCAAGAACTGTAGGAAACAGAGGACAATTTATGGCCATTAAATAAATATGAACTAACAATGTCCAATAAACCTAAGAATTCTGAAACACAGCTCTGAATCCTGGTTACAAGGGCATCACCATTTCTTACAACAAATATCTAAAAATCTTCTGCCCTCATCCTTTCCTCAATATCTCAGTGATAAGCCAGAAAGAGAGAAAATAAATCACCCTGGTGGATAGTGGGTTAAACACTGGACTGCTAATTACAAGATCGATGGTTCAAACCCACTAGCCATTCTGTGAGCAGAAGAAAAAGTTGCTTTTTTGTGGTAACAACTGTACAACTCTTCATGATAAGATTGAACTACTGAAATGTATGATTTGTGGATGAAGTGCCAATAAAACTATTAAAAGAAGAAGGAGAAGGAGGAGGAGAAGAAAAGGTTGTCTGTGACCATAAAGATTTAGTCTCAGAAGCACTATGGGGCAGTTCTATTCCTGAATATTTCTGCCAAAGAATACATAAATCGGAAAAATAAAATAAAGATGCATGTTGAAGTAACATTTTTCTGCCTAATTTTATCTTCTTTCCCCTAGTAATGCTCCACCAATTGTATAGCTCTAGGCCAGGATGTATGAGTAAAACATATGTTTCTGGTCCTTTGCCTACCTTACCCAAGTAATTACTGCAGTATTTTTTCTTCACTAGGCAAGTCTTTCTCCAACCGCTATAAGTAGAGCTACACACACAAAAGAAGGGAACACAGAGACAGAGCTACTCTCTCATAATTCAACTGATTGTCTTCACATATCCTCATATTCTCTCTAGAAATGACTACTTACATGCCCTTGATTTTTAGAAGCTACCCATTATTAAGTACATCATAATACTCATAATTTTAAAGAAAACAAAAACAAAACACTACCCAACTAGAATTAAGGAAATATGATACTATGAAAGCAATCTGATATAAACAGTTCATATGAAAATTAATTTATAAATATATTAGATCTAAGCAAATAGTAATTATTTTCTGTCTGTTACTTATACCTTTTGTTCTAGGAGTGCCCTGCGGAGAGACACCCTCTGTTCAAGTTCCCGAAGCTCTCGATCATGTTGTGCCTCAGCCTGCATCTTGATTTTGCTTTGATATGCATTCAACAGCTCCAGTTCCTGCTGCAGCTGCATCTTCAGAACCTGGCATTCTGCTTCCTGTGCTTCATCCAAACGCAGCTGAGAGAGAAAGAAAATGGCTATATCTTACTGTGAAGCTATCTATACATGACCTATGGAAACAAGGAGGTCCTCTAACAAGACAGGCTACTCTTTTGTAGCTTATACAATTTGTTTCTTCATTCTTGTGAAAATCTTTGAAAAGGAAGGTACAATAACCAATGACGACATTATGAAGATAAAGTGATCTATCATGTTATTTAGAGAGTGTATAATTATCTATATCTTTCTTTAGAAAAATCTAGTATTTGATTAGGTGATTTAAAACGGCATCTTCTTCAGCCCCAAAGAGAAATATGAGGGCTGTTGAAAGTTCCATGATCTTTTAAAAAATTCCACTTTCCTACAACTTTTTGAATTTACCTCATAGGGAGTACTGGACTACACCTGTGGGCCAAATTTGGCCAGCCATAGTTCTGTTTTTATGTCCTTTAGTCAAGAACAGTCTTTACATTTTGGAAAACATTATAAATTGTTGTAATAAGGATCTGTATTTGCATATTAGAACCCAAAACCGAAAGCCTTCACTATCTGGCACTTCAGAAGAATTGGTAAACCCCTTACATAAAAATATTTTGTGCTGTACTCAAATGTGATCATTTAACTTCCCAATACAGTCCTACTTTTTGCCCATTGGTTAAAAATACTGCTGCTCTAATCTTGAGAAGCTGTTCTAAATGCATGAAGGAGAATTCTATATGCAAAATGCCATTTCCAAGCAATGTTGGCAGCAGGAAAAATATGGACTAGCATGATTTCCCAATCTGTAGGACTTCTGACTAATATTGCTAGGATTTTTGGGTAGTGGAAGGAAAAAGAAATACTAAATTTGTTTGGACTAAATAAAGCTAACTTACAGCTTGGGTGGACAGCATTTCATTAATGCTGTGATCATATTGCTCAGCCAAGATAGCTAACTTGCGGGTCTGCTCCTCCTTTAGCCGCTTCAGAACAGCTTTGTGCTCACTCTTTGGTGTAGTTTCCAGTAGGTGATTTCTTAATGCTTTGTACTGTCTGGTTTGGATTTTGCAGGTATCTTGAAACTGCTTTTTAATTTGGAGTTCCTTAGACTGGGAAGAAAAAATAAGAAGATGTAAGTATTTTAAAATATAAGGCATTTAACATAACTCAAGTGTACATGTGAAGAAAGGCAGTTAGGAAGAAGGCAGAGGTAATCAAAAGATCACATTAAAAGGCTGTAGATACTTTTTCACTTGGTCATTTGTCTAAGCTCTGGACTCTATGCATTTTTATAATAAAAATGATTATTAAAACATAGAGAAACCTATCATGGCAATGCACCTTCCTGCTCATTCTTCTAAAGTATTAAGAGGTATCCTGAGAATTTCATTGTGAAATCTTACCCATCTACCATACAGCCTTGATCCTGCCCCTTCAGACTTCTTTTTGATCCCCAATCTCAAAGAACATCAAAAGGAACATCATTTGAAAATCCCTGGAGCAGTGGTTCTCAACCTTCCTAATGCTATGACCCTTTCAGACAGTTCCTCAGGTTGTGGTGACCCCCCAACCATAAAATTATTTTCGTTGCTACTTCATAACTGTCATTTGCTACTGTTATGTATCGTCATGTAAATATCTGATATGCAGGATGTATTTTCAGTGTTACAAACTGAACATAATTAAAGCATAGTGATTAATCACAAAACAATATGTAATTATATATTCTGAAATATGTATTTTTAATGACAAATAAATGAAATTTTGTCTTGAAGTGTGGTGTAGCATGGGTAAGTCTTCACGCCAGGAACTCGTATGTGGGCTTATCTGCATGTGGGTGGACCCACCTGGAGATGGATAGAGGAGCGGTGTTCTCAGTTCCTAATACCATAGGAAATATGTGTTTTCCGATGGTCTTAAGCGACCTCTGTGAAAGGGTCGTTCAACCCCCAAAGGGGTCGCGACTCACAGGTTGTAAACCGCTGCCCTGGAGGATGGCAAACCTGGGGTTGTGATGTGGTATAGATCAGAGTACAGCATTCTTCAGGAAAGAAGGGTTAAAGAGACATGCATACCATCTTCAGAAGTTTACAGACCTAGATGGGGAACCACAGATTTACACTATGAAATTTTTGTTTAATACAAATACAGCCAAATATGGACTGGCTGATTCCATTGGGAAAAAACCAGATATATGCTCAGAGTTCCATACATATCAAATTTTTATCTTTTTCTGTACTACAATATTAACTATGTTTTTTAAAAATATCAACTATGTTAACACAACTTTATTGTATGAAGGGCCAAGAAATATATAAATAGAAAAACTCTTGCTTTAGTTAAGACAATTAGTACGGCCTCTAAATAATGTGGTTAAACAAGTCCTTCCAAGTGCTTCTGTCCAGCAATAAAACAAATAAAAATTAGACATCCTTTTCCTATACTTTTTTTAAAAGTTATCATTTAAAAATGTGTCAAGTAAACTAATTATTCCATACCACTGGCTTATTTTTGGCTGAGATGGTCCCTGAGAACAGCATCACTCCCAAGTCAGAAAGGTCATCTTATGGCCAAAATCACAGGGGTTTCACCAGTCTCTGTCAGTAAGTTTGATTTTCTTTGTGAATTAGATTTCTTTGTTTCACCTTTTTCTTCCACTATAGCCAAGAATCTCTATTGTGATCACAGTCCGAGTGGTTGGTAGTGGTAACCAAACAAGTGGTATTTCTTCTGGTTTGGGGATCATGTAGACTATGGCTCATGTTGTCTATTAGTGTTCGGCCTAATTATTCTCTTGAGCATTTGGTTTTCTTCACTCTCCTTTTTATGACTGTGAATAGATCAGTAGTTGCTAAGATGGTCGCTTGCAAACTTTGAAGGCTCTATATGTTACTCACCAAAGTAGGATGCACAACACTGTCTTTATGAACTATGTTGTGCCAAATTCGGCAGATTTAAGATGAGTCTATGGACCTTTACCTACATGTCAGGAATTTTATCCCAGTAGATGAGGTGTTTGGTTATGTCTAAGAAGTTCCATGACTGTGCTCCTGGAGTGCTCTTTTGTATTAACATATATGTGGCACCTAAAATTATGCATGTAAAACACATAAAGCCAAACCTTATTCTGCATGTGGTTGTACTCCCTTATACCCTCTATTTCTTTTACTATATTGATCTACTTAACTATGTATTTACTCAAATTATTATCAATATTATTGTTGCAGGATTATCATGTTGTAGTAATTACCGTAGCTGTTCATTATTTTTGTATTCCTCTTAATGGGTTTCCTTTGCTTTGGTGATGTTGTGATGACCTCCCCCACACTGTTGGCTTTCCCTTTACCATATTACTATGTATTACTAATTAGTAATTTTTGCTCTCTCCCATTCCCATCCCTGGTAGCAATGACACAATTTTTTCCCTCCCAGTATGTAACCTTTTCTTGATTTTTCTTTTAGAATGGTGGTCTCATAAAATATTTGTCCTTTTGTGATTTACTTATTTCACTCACCACAATGTCCTCCACATTTATCCAGTTTGTGAGGTGTTTCGTAGACTTGCCATTATTCTTTATGGTTGTATATCATGCCATGGTATATATGTGAGAGAAGCAAAATCTTTGGGATTCCTGGTGGCAGAGTGAGCTGCTAACCAGTTAGTGGTCAAACACCCAAGGTGCTATTCAAGAGGAAAATTAGGCTGTCTACTCTTATAAAGGGAGTGTAGTGTAGTGGTTATGCATTTGGCTGCAATCAGGTTCGAAATCAATAGCTGTTGTTACTAGCGATAAGGGCTTTCTACTCCATAAAGAGTTAAAAGTTTTGGAAACCCACAGGACAGTTCTACCCTGTCCTAGAGGGTCGCATGAGTCAGAACTGACTCCACAGCAGTGAGTGTCTTAGTTTACTCCTGTGAAGATTTAAAGTCTCAGCAAACCCAAAGGTGCAGTTCTTCTTTGACCTTATGACCTTGATGACAGTTGAGTTTGGTTTACCTTTGAAACCAGTTTGTATTTTAAGATTTTAGATTTTATTGAGACTTGCTTTGTGGCCTGAAATGTAGCTGATTTTAAGAGAATCCATACTGTTTTTTCTTCAGATTGCATGAATATTTCGCCTTTTAGAGAATCCATTTGAAAAGAATGTATGCAGAACTTATTGATGACATCTTCTTTTTTTTTTCCTCCCCCTTTAGGGGTATGTGGGGGGTGGATAGCACACAAAATCTATTCTGCTGCCTTCTTTTTACTGGTGCATTTACATTCAATTTGGTTAGCACTAGGTTTGAGTTTAGTCACTTTGTTGTTCCTTCAGTCACTTCTTTTGTGGTGATTTCTTGCTCTACTTAATTTTCTGTGTTGAGTTACTTTTGTGGATCTTCTTTTCATTTTTCCATTGGTGTTAAATTTGTGTTTTAATTTTTTTTGATCTTCTTTACATCGAACTGTTATCCATACTGAAAGTTGCAATCCTTGATCTTCATCAGCAAGTGTTTCAAGTCTTATTCACTTTCAGAAAGAATGGCTGTGTCATCTGCATGTTACAGGTTATTAATAAGTCTTGCTCCGATCTTGTAGCCACATTCTTCTTCATATATGGCCAATCTGCACTGACCTAAAAAATTAAGCTACAGCTTCCTCAGATTAGCTCCCTTTCTTAATTACGGGTTTAAAGTGTTGCCTGACCTTGTTCCAAACTGGCTTTGATGAGTGAGTGTTCCCAATGTTACTAGGTTTATTCTCAGCTTCTGTGCCTTCCGCACTCCTCATCTCCCTAGCTACCGTCTGAAGTTCAGAGCTCTCCGTTTGTGCTTGGTTTAATTTGTTATTCAATGAGTTTGATGCTGGGGGAATAAATAGGAGCATCTACTCACTTTATCATTTTACTTTGCTCTCATGAATTCTAATTTTATGGGTAATGACCGAGGAAAGGTCATGTTGACAGTTAACACAATCATTCTCTAAATAATGTTAGTTTGCGGTTTTAAGACACAGAAGGGTTAAATTGTACTAAGATTTATTTGGAAAGGTTTAAAATTAGATATGTGCTATAGCTTCAGATTTTGACAGAGGTTGGTTTACCTTTGTGACTGATTCTCCAAACTGACCAGTAGATATTCACAGCAAGAATCAAGATTATGTTTACAGCTTAAGTAAAGAATAGCTTTAAAAAAGGTTTTTAAATATAAAATACTGTGGCTCTGCAATTCTTTATCAGATACAAATAAAAGCTAACATGCAGAGACATGGATAGATCAAGTGAGGTACAACCACAGATGACAGTCTATAGAGAATTTTTTTTTTCACTTTTGTTTTTAAGATCATGTGATTCTATGCCTTAAGTACTTATTAGACACTATAAAATTTGGTTGGCTATGGTAAGACTAAAGTTACAAATATACTTTTGCATCATGTGAATACATTCCTCTATTTAAAGCACAAACAAATGTTTAAGTCTCTTGGCAATATATATCACCAGCACTATCTTTTGTTTGTAGAAGTGTATATAACAACTTACTCTACTCTGATGTGCTGGACATTCTGATTTTAAAAATATACTTTAATTACTCATGGTATGGTTCTACTTAGACTACCAAACAGAGATAAAATAAGCAGAGTAGGAGAAACACTGTGATGGCATGCTAGCATGCTGACATGAAGAATTTAGTAACAGCATTGGATAGTTAGGCAATTTTAAGTTAAGAATTTGAATTTTTACTGGTACGTCTCACAGTTAAAAGTTTGGGCCTCCTTTTTTAAAAAAAAATTCTCATGAATGTTAGCAAGCGAAAAGAAAATATCAAAAGTTTAGTCTGTTTCATTATGACAGACATATGTCTTGGTACTTAGATGCCCTCTATTATTTCTTTTCCCCTCTGTCAGTAAACTTACCTTTAGACTCTTGGGCTGCTGCCGAACCTCCATGACGTGCTTTCGCCTCAGTTCCCGTTCTCTTCGTTTGTTATACTCCAGCTGGTTAGTGAGCTCAGTTTGGTGCTGCAATCTGATCAACTCACAGCGCATCTTCTGAATTGTATTGAGGTGTCGAAACTCCAGTTCTTGCATGGATTCATGTTGTCGCAGTAGCATGGCATGCTCTAAGTCCTTCTGAGTCTGCCTCTTATTTAACTCCTAATCCATAACACATAAGACATGGGTATAAATAAAGCCAGAAAAAGAAAACAAGATCCTGAGACCTATCAACTCGGATATATGTTATTCTGATCCAATAATGGATAAATAATAACTATAAGGCTTTCTTTTATTTCAATAAATGGGCAATTAGTAAAAATATAAATTTACTATTTATTTACATTATTTTATGCTAAAAAAATCTAAAATACATCAATTTTATAACCAGGGGCTTTACTTTTTTTTTTTACTTTTCCCTTTCTTGTTTTCTGATTTCATATATGCAGAAGACACCTAAGCCATCCTTCGAATTTCTTTAGAGTATACAATAAATTTTATTACACACAGTGTAGCTAGGATTATAGTGTAATAGTTAAGACTATGAACTCTAGCTCTAGATTACTTTTATCCTAGCTCTGCTACTTACTAGCATTGAGTCCTTGGGTAAATTCTTGAATCTGTTTTCTTACTCTCACTTTTCTTCTAAAATAAATATAGTAGCATAACATAGCTATTTCATTGATTTATTATGAATGCTATTTATTAAAACAGCACCTAGTACATTAGGATAAACAAATGTTACTATGCTTTTTCTCAAATTAAAAACAACAAATACATACAAACATACAATGTAGATTTCAAACCTGGCTTCTCTGAGTCTATAACCTATTCCTCAGAAACCCATAGTTTAGGGCATTTGCTTCTTGATATTATTGTTTATTCTGAAACATGTATTATACAAAAACCTATCATTCCAAATACTGGATAATATACAGTATGGGCATGTAACTTGCTTGCTTCATTTAACAGTATATTGAACATATATCTAGATTAATGTTTCCCAAAATGTATGATACCATCTCCTGGTGGTGTGCTAGAATGATTTAGGGGGACTGCAAATGCAGATACCTATACTTTATCCTGAATTATGGGTTATAGTATAAAAGTTTTAATTGCTAGGGGCATTGGGTAATTTTTTTTTCTGAAAAGGGGTGGTAGGCCAAATAAGTATGGGAACCTATGATATAGCAACCTACCATATATAATTTTTGTGATATTATTCTTCAATTGTTGGACATTTTAGTCATTACCATTTATTGCCTTATTAAAAAACCATTTTTTGCTTTTATAAGTGCCATTTCAATAAATATCTGCACAAATTGCATCATGTTATTAAGTCTGGAGTACCGAGCTCTACAAGCGGATTTGATGGCTACAAGCGTAAGTGCATATTACACTTTAAAGGATACTGTTTAATTACACCCTAAAAGAGTGGTATCAATTTATACTGCTATTAACAGTACCTATTTCCCTACACAACTACTTGGACTAGATATTACCAATATTTACAATTTTGCTATTTAACATGTATCTGTTAAATGTAACATGTAAGCTGTTTTATTCAAATATTGCAATTAGTGAATTTGAAACATAATGCTATATTTGAAGCATACTTTAAGCAACTTTGAGAAATTTATCTATGCTTATAAGTATGTTTGGTAACTGGAACAATTTTTTTCAATGGCATATGAGTCTTTTAAAATTTTATTTATTTATTTAGTGTATATGAGTATTTGTACCATTTGCTCAATTAATAATTACATGATAATAAAAATACAGCTAACAATAAGTTATCTCAGAGCACACATTTTAGAGTAAAGAAGAACAATTTGCCCATTCATTTCTTCTTATTTAAAAATACTTTTTCACCCATGTATTATTTAATACATATTTATTCAATAGCTAATGGGAATATAATTAGACACACCTGTGACTTTACATAGCTTCCATTGCAGTAGGGCAGTACAGAATATGCTCCGTCTAAAAAAAAAGTGTGTGTGTGTGTGTGTGTGTGTGTGTGCGCGCGTGTGCACATGTCTAGGAGAGAAATAGAGGTAAAGAAGGAAATGTGGGTTTGTTCACCAGGGAAGGACGTGCGAAAGAAGTGACATCTGAGGTGAGACTTGACTGCAGAGAGCATACCAGGAGGTTACCCGTGGTAAAAGTGACCCACACAAAGGGAGATACGGATGCAAGGCCCAGAGGTAGATCGATAAGCGGCATATCTTCAGAAAAGAATTCTTCTCATCACTCCTGGAGGTCTCTTTTAAACCAAATAATAGACTGACTTATGAAACAAACGGGATTACCTATGAGGAATAAGTTCTCTTCTCCACAAGAACAAATGGTCTACATTTATCCCGAAACAAAGATGAACAGCAAGGAGGCATACAAAAATTTTTATATGAAAATAGTACAATAAAAATGGAAATAATGAAAATGCTGACACACTGAGGAAAACTGTAACCAATGTCAGGGGAAAAAAATCATGCCAAAATTCTAAATGAGAACTTAATTTGTGGTGTAATCCTTTACGTAAAACACAAATGGACAGCAACACTTTTACTTCTCTCTCACACACACACACACACACACACACACACACACACACACGAACACGTACCTCCCTGACAAGATCTTGCTCTAAGTTATGACGCCCAAGTAGCATTCTTCTTTTGAAGCGACGGCATTCCAGTTCTAGGTACTGTCTCTGACGTCGAAGGAGGTTAGCTTCTTCTTCTGCTTGGAAATGCTGTATATTCTCCTTCTGCTTTGATAACCACTCTTGTTTTTCTTTTTTGGGAGTACTCTGGTTTTCATTCAGCTCCTGGAAACATAAAAAACTGAGTTCAAAATACATGAAAATTAATCATTTAAATGTACCACTGTTATCTGGTAAGTTTAAATGAAAGTACTTTATTGGGTTTTCTCTCTAATTCAGGCAGGGGAATGACCTTGAGGAGGTAGGTTATAATTTCCTCTCTCTGAGTTACCTGTGAAGTAGGGCAGGAAAAGAAAAATGGACACAAGAAATTCATGCATATCTTTTAGATTTACATAGCTACATTTCTTATTCCCCTAACTTTGAAAGCACACAGTGATTAGTTAACAAAACAAAACAAAAACATGTCCCTTAAATTGTTCTCAAGGTGAGACAGAAGCAGTGATATCAGGTAGAAGTCTTATGTCAATTAAAATAAGGGCTAAAACACAGTTAAATAATGTTTTACTTCTTGGCTTTAAACATTCTATTAAGTGTTTGGTAAAATTATAGATGGATTAAATATTTTAAAATTGAAAATTAAAAGGAAAATCAACAAAAGATTGGGAAAAGGTACCTGCCTTTACAATTATTTAATTTTTAGTATTACTACTTCATGGACATATAAAAACATGTTTTTCTATACTGCTTTAACTATCATGCCACCAACTATCTCAGTAAAAATGAATTTATATTAGGCAAAGTAAAAATATGGTAGTATATTAAACGAAGCAAACTTTATTTTCAAAATAAAAAGCATCAACATTGTATACAGGAATATAATTAAGTTATCTTTCTGAATATAAGATGCTTTTTCAGAGATTTATAATGTCAGTCTTTTCCCTATTCAAGGAAGTACGCGAGCAACCCTTTACTACTTTAGTTCTTAAGATATTAAAACACATAAAGATAAAAAAAGTTCATCAATTAGTAGTTCTCAACTTGAAAGTGTTTGTGTATACACTCTATGGGAAGACACAAGGGTAATCTAAGTCCATGCATAGAGAATTACCTGGGAATAGTTTTCAAAATCCACTGAGTCAGGGAACTTTTCTGATAAGATTCTAATTATGTTCCTTTCTATATACTAAGGGTCATTAGTCTAAATAAATGTAAATAAACACAAAAAAATCTGACTCCTAAAAGAAAAGGAATTTATTAGCTAGACTACCTCAAGAATTAGCCATACCAAGTTACCCATGAAAATATAAATTATAAATACATACTTTACCCTAATGGTTCTATTATGAGTTAACTAGCACTAAATATAACCAATAAGCAGATAATTTGTTTGATAATTTAAAAAAAATAAAGTACCTCCTTAAGCTGCTCCTTTCGAAGTTTATACTCTCTCTTTTGGGACTCCAAAAAGCTATTTAGTTCTTTCTTCTGTTGAGCCTGAATATGTTGCTGAAATTTTTTCTCCTCATTGGCCATCACTTTAGCCTATAAAAAATTAAAGAAAGGTTATCAAGTTAGCTGAGCAGACAGGTAGATTCAAAACAGCAGTTTAATATACATCGGTAAGTGAATCTGTTTTTATAAGAAAGTACTATCAAAATAATAATAACCTAACCAAATTATTAGTAAAAATAGAGCATTTATATCACTTCAATTCCACAGAACCAATAAAATGAACTCATCTTCAAAAACTGATCATTTGTAGGATCAAAATGTTTTTATGTTTTTCATTTAAAAGAAGTACAGGGTGAGGGAAGGAAGAAAAAAGAGCAGATACAAAGGGCTCAAGTAGAAAGCAAATGTTTAGAAAATGGTGATGGCAACATACATACAAATATGCTTGATACAATTGATGTATGTAATGTTAGAAGAGCTGTAAGATAAAATAAAATTATTAAAAATAAAAGAAGTACAGCCCCCTGGGCCAAAAGAAAAAACAGGGTTTATTTGTTTTAAAATAAAATTAACTCATAATTTTAATTTATAATGTATAAAAACAATTTTATACATTAATCTGTAAATTAAACCCTGATCACACTATATCACTAATAGGAAATGCTAAATATTAGATAGAATAAATAGTATTTTAGTTCTGATTATGTATGAACTTTGCATTCATTGTAGAACATTTCAGAAATATAGAGAAACACAAAAAAATTAACTTTTATATGATTTTAGCTTTCAGAGATAACCAATGGAAACATTTGAGTGTCTACGCTTATTAATTTTTCTATGCTATGTATTAAAAATCAAGTCAATAAATGAAAGGAAAAAATTATACTGCATATTCTACTTCATTAATTACTAAATATATTAGTAACTACTTCTTACCAGCTTATTTAAAATAATATCTAATACTCATAAGATTCTAAGTATGTGTACATTCTCTCGTCAGACCATTTTAAAATCAAGTAATCATTTCATGATAAGCTTTGCGAAATTCTCTTCTATTGCAGTGAATGGTCCTTTTTTGGGAGGGAAAGTGAACAGGAAAGCTGTGATAAAAATACTTCTATTAGAACTAGCCAAATATACTTTATAAAATTAATGAATTTACTGAATAGCTTATATTTTGACAAGTATAAACTATTAAAATAAAATTGATAAAACATCAAAAATACCAGAATGATTCATGGAAGAAAAACTTTAAAAATAATCCAACTCGATCATGTGTGGAATAATGACACTTATTTGTAAGTAATAAATCGGAATCTCTATTAATTTATAATCTCTAACATTCTCTATATGTATTAAAATGTTTAGTTATACTCTCATATAAAAATGCAACTATAAATTGAAGGAAGGTTTCCCAAAAAGTACAGAGAGAAGGAAATCTGTTGAAAATATGAATGACTTAAAAAAAAAAAAAAAAA